GCATTTTTGCTTGACACATTGGAGGAATGTATGGATTGTGATAAGAGTTGTAAGAGCCCCCAATAAAAGTTTTTTTTTTTGAAAAAACAGACAAACATCTTTTTTTTTAAAGATATGTTTTGTAATATCTTGCACCGTCCGACATCTCCTCTCACCCATCTTTCTGTTGTCCATCCCCCAGGGAGGAGGCCATATGTAGATGCATTTTATTAAATGTTCTTTTTTCCAGTAAAAACTTTCCTTACACGTCCAGAAGCAATAATAGGCCTATGGAAATAATTTCATAGACAAACCAATTTCTTATTTCTAGTCTCAATAATCAGTACATAAATAAATGTAATGAAAATTTGTTGTTTTTAATAAATCATTGTGGGATCTTACAGCTCTTATAACAATCCATACATCCTTGTATCAAGCACATTTGTACATACGTTGCCTTCATGCTTTTGAAAGTATTTTCTTTCTACTTGAGCCCTTGGTATCAGCTCCTCTTACTTTTTCTCCCTCACACCCTTGTGAGCCCCTGATAAGTTATAAATTATTATTATTTTTATATCTTACACCATCCACCGTCTCCCTTCACCCACATTTCTGTTGTTCATCTCCCTCGGGGTGGGGGACAGTACATCGATCATTGGGATAGGTTCCCCCTTTCTCTCTCAACCTTACACCTATCCTCATGGTATTGCTACTCCCATTACTGTTCCTGAGGAGGTTATCTGTCCTGGTGTGTCGAGAGCTCTTAACTATACCAGTGTATATGTTTTGGTCTAGCCAGATTTGTAAGATAGAACTGAGGTCAACAACTATACCAGTGTGCATGCTCTGGTCTAGCCAGATTTGTAAGATAGAACTGGGGTCAGCAAAGCCCACGTGGAAGAAGCACACCAGCTTGTGTGATCACAAGGTGTCAGTAGATCAGGTATTAGGCATCAGAAGACCCAAAACAAACAATCATATTTGATGTAAACAAGGGGGGCCGGAGTTGATACCCAAAGCCCATCTGTAGACAATTGGACATCCCTCACAGAAGGGTCACAAAGAAGGAACAAGTCAGCCAGCATACAGTATAGCACTCACAAAACATACAACATTCCTCTAGTTCTTTAATGCTTCCTCCCTCCCCACTATCATGACCCCAGTTCTACCTTACAAATCCAGAATTTTTTTTAATACTCATTTCCTTTTTTTGTTTTAACTGTATAGGTTTTTAGGAAAAGTAATGAACATGGTTTGGAACTCTTGAATAATAACCTGTACCTGCCACTTATTAGCTGTCTATTTGAATTTGAGTGACTCGTTTTATCTCCCTGAACCTCAGTTAATTTACCTGTAGGATGGGGATAGCACCACTTGCCCAAGCTGCTTCATGAAGGTATTGCACGTTGAAAGCAGAGTGATAGTGCTGGCAAGAACACGGGTGTTTCAGAATCAGACAGACCTAGAGTGTGAGTTCCCACTCTGACATTCTGGCTGTGTGACCCTAAACCCCTAAATTCATCTCTTAGTGCCTCAATAGACCCTCAGCTGCGGAGTGAAATAGACACGGACCCCTAAAATACCTGGCACTTAATGACACAGTAAATCATCTATCCCTTCTCTCTTTCTCAGTTATTTGGACACCAAATGAGATACTAAGTGTGGTAATGTTGTATTCTCTGTACTCTGCTTTATGCTTGGACTATTTAAAACTAAAGGGAAAAAAATAGGCTTTGAAGACAAATCCCGTGAAATCTGAGAAACTAAGCCCTGAAAATGACTTCAGATTTTATCTAAATATACATACATATATCTTTATAAAATAAAAATGGCAAGACAAGTAGTAGCAGCTATATTTATGCCATGCAAAACTGCGTTTCTTGCCATTTAACTCGGAGTTTTCCTAGAAAGAAGAAAATGTTATTGATACAATGATTCCCCCAAGTCTTACTTGTCTTATAGCAAGAAAATTCAGCTATCTTGGGAGTCATTTGGAAGTCTTGAACGTGCCCAAAATAGAATAGTGAATGGTGTATGACATCCATTCTTGCCCCAGTTATTTCCCTCTCTTAGAAGTCACTGTTAGTCAGCTTCTGGATACGCTCAGTAGTATCCAGGTTGGA